GAGATTGAATCGACGACCTTCTTCTCAGTACGCAAAAACGAGACATCCAAGCCCTGAACATCACAGTTAACCTCTGCGACCGATGATCCACTAAGCCCAGTGACTATTCAAATGACATGGTTAAAAATGAGGTCTAGAATTTTGAAATTTTCTAATATCGAAATATTGAAGGTTTTTAAGATCGGAAACTAAAACTTTCACTGAGTTATGGAGTCTGAAAATTTTCAAAATTCTTTGTTTGAAATGGAGTGAGTAGATTCATACACAGTTCGAAAAAGTAGTGTAAATTTCTGTTCAATATGATGCACATAAATGGAGCATCACATATCATATCATGTAAAGTTCTGACACATTTCATGCAATGTAGTAAATATAGTATATACAAGTGTACGTTAATGAATGTTTACATTACAAATAAAATTCAGAATTTTTATCTGTGTAGATTTAAATATAAAAAACAATGAATTTTACAACTTTACTAATCTGCGGTTTAGTTCAACTTCTATGTATAATTTTCATTTTTGATATATGGCTGAGAGAAACTTCATAAATGAAATAGCATATTTTTGACTAATTTTAGACTCCAAAATCCCTCCCCCTGCAGCGTATTTTGCAACACCGGTCACAACTTCTGGCATCGGTACACAGATAAAAATTCTGAATTTTAATTGTGATGTAAACATTCATTCACGTAAACTTGTATTTCATTTCATGCAACCAAGCAACTTGTAAACAATGTTGTTTACAAAGATGGATTTTTTAATACAATATTTGCAACATTGAATGAAGTGTCTCAGAACTTTACACGATATATAATGTAAACTTATATGATATGTGACGCTCCATTTATGTGCATCATATTGAACAGAAATTTACATTATTTTTTCGAACTGTGTATCTCTGGTAGAATAAAATTATTATAAAAATATATCAGTATCGCTGAAACACCCACCAAACGAAATCTTACGTGCCCTTTTTTCGTTTGAGGCTAGTTTCATAATGTTCCAACGGTGGTATTTTTTTTTTCCTTTGGTTTGTTTTTTCCGTCGATCTTGTTTTCCGTGCTGAACACCAATGCTACCGACGTACCAGGAAGGCAGCTCCCACACCTGGACCCTACATATCGACCCATCAACTCATGAACCGGGGACCAACGGCTTTTACTTCCCATCCGAAAGAAGGCGTGATCAGAGATGTTATGCCTCAGAACATCCCGGCGGCGCCGACTGGTATTGAACCCAGGCCTGCTGGGGTAAGAGGTAATCACGCTTACCACTACACCACCGGCGCCGTTCCCAACGGTGGTAATTTTTCAATATATTTTTTGGGCTTCAATGGTCGAGAGAGTTAATTTATTTACACTGAAAAATACGAAAACAATTAAATTTGTTCTGTTACTAATATTACTTATAAATAAGACTGCTACGATTCAGTGAAAAACATTGTGGTGTTAAATTTAGAACAATTAGTTTGAAATATATATTCACCATAAAATGCTTCCTATTATTTCAGGTAATTTATCGCACTTTTGATTTGATAATTTTAAGTTATTTAATGTACAACATCAAACAGTTCATCTGGTAACGAAGAATATCAAAAGAAGAAGCAGACATATTTGAATTATGACTTGTGCAACATTAATGCAGTATATTTGATTTATCTCAATACATAATGTATATGTCCGATGCAAAACAGATTCAATTGCCAGAGCTTACTCTATCAATCACTCCCACTAACTTTAAACCACATTTGGATTTATACAGGTTTGCCACAAGACGCCCACATTCATTATGACACATTTGGATGTTTAAGTCTTTCGAGATTAGATTTTAAAATAAAAATAAACAATCTTAAAATTAAACGACTTTTGATATCAATTAGCAGCTCCAAGTCTATAAGTAAACGTAAACGGCAGCGGCAAGTTTGACTGTTGCCGACCTTCAGAAGGGAAGTAAATCCGTTGGTCGTCTCTCTGGCACTCGATTTCCGTCGGTGATTAAACACCAATTGGCAATCGACGCTCGTCGGTGATTGGCACTCGATTGTGGAACAGATGCCGATGTTATTAAAGGAAAAAAGAAAAGAAAAAAGTTTGACAGTTGTAAAAAATACCATCAAGATGTCAAATCGAAGTTGAGTTCTAACTCAATTTAGGCTTTCCACTACCGCTCCCGTTCTGCTTCCGCTGTCATTGCGCTCAGGCCTTATGATGCTAGAATTTGATGTGATTTTTTAATGGAAAGCTGTTTCTGGCTCTGTCAAACTTTACTAACTTCATTGACCCATCTAATAATTACTATGCAAGTAATTGAATGAAGGTTTTTTTTTTAATTTTTGCTCTTAAAATTGTCTAAAATCAGCAAAACAAAATACACCTCTATGTTTTAAAACTCAAATCTTCCACGAGTCCTCGAAACATATTTTGATTCCGTTCCCTTCATCTTCCAATGTTTGTATTCCGTACCTGTATCAATGATCTCACCACCCATCAATCCACATAAACAAAAACGGTAAAACCGTAATCCTCACACCGCACCGCTTTGTGTCACTCTCGTGGCTCACACGTCCGGAATCTCCGAAAATCCCAACGACATACACCGCTCGCATGTCCTGCGAACCTACACACATCCCGAATCGCCCGGCGTTGCTGTGATTCAAATAATGTCCTTCACAACACATCATTGGCCGCCACGCACCGCCGGGGTCGTGTCCCTTTAACTATTTCTTTAATTTATTCTAACGGTCAGTTTTGCTTCTTGACCACTACTGGTCAATGGAACCGGTTCCCATGCTAGAAGCCGGTTCTCCGTCGGTGAATGTGCGTTTCCGAAAACCTTGCAAAGATTCACCCCTTTTCTTCCCCCTTCTTAGAGGGAGATCTTTGAGGACGAAGGTAAGGAGACTGACCAGTGGTCAGTCCTTTTTCGTGTCTTTTAATTTTACATCCCGGTGAAAGAGCGAGACGGGCGAGGGACGACATCGAACCATAAATCTTCCTTCGGGAACAATAGAAAATAGTTTCCGTCGGTATTGTTCTTTCTCGCCCCGCGTCGCGCCCTGAATGTCTTCTAGAGGCGGCAGAAAAGCGTCCCATTTACGGCACAGAAAAACGGGATTAAATCCATCCTCTCCTGATGGCATCAATTGTCTGTCTATATTTGCTTTACATATTTAAAATCATAAGGATTGCACGCCGCTGGATGTTTGGATTGAAGGGTTCCTTCCACAAGGATAATTTTGCGATTCGAGACTTTGAGCGGTATTTGCTCAAAATATTAAAAATCATAACGATCCCATAAATCACGACCTGGGAAAACGTTTCCCCGTTACGGAACTTGCATGTCATTCTGTTCCGCTCTTTGAACACCATAACGGACTCCGTCGGGCAGCTAAGCTTTGCGTTTGACATGCAAACCAGAGCGAGCGTCAGCGCAGCGGCTTCAACAACAATAATAGATGTGTTTATTGTGTTCCACACGTCGATTCTTATCGCTCCGGGATTGCTCTATCCAAGCAGACCGTGATTCTCCCAGGAGGTTCGTTTTTCTGTTTTTAATATTTATTAACCAATGAATACTTGATGTCTCCATTGGAGTGTCCAATGTCACGCTTTTTTGCTTCCTCGCACGGTTGGATTGAACAACTTTTGACATTTCGGATGCCCTCGCCCAATTGACAGTTGCACCCTGTAGGGCGGTTCCGGTCGGTACCCCCAGGTGTGTATGTGTAATGTAACCTCAAAATAGACTTTCCGTTTTTTTTATTGATTTGCTTGTGCTGTATTCCGGGAACAATTGAATCGAAACAGTAGTGTTGCCTTTCTTCTGCTATTCTTGAGCCAAGCGGCAGGAGGGCACTCTTATGGGAACCAAGAAACTATAGGTATTCCTGCTGTTTTGCTTTTTTACATGCAGATAAGTTTTGTGACTTAATAACGATATTACCGGTTTTTATTCAAGCTGTTGAAATATTGCTTGGCATCGATTCCGGGGGACCCCCAGTAGGAAAGGATTTCGCGAAAAGACTAGCCAAAAGGAGTTAATTGACGAAGTTCTCACACCAGTCTGAAATCGGCCCTAATTGGTTGATTGGGACTAATGTAGTATTTTGAGTTTGTTGTAAATAAGTCAACTACAAGTTTTAGTCAACGATAACAATACGACTTGAAACAGTTGACAAATGTAATCCCATCCGTTTTACGCTCGATTCTGTCACAGAGCTTACGCGGAGATGAATAGCGCGTTATTAATGCGCATGCATTATTATATTTGTACCGCATTAAGGCTCAGCTCGGTAATAACATTATGATTTACATACACAATAAATAATGACTTCATTCGTGGCTTAAGCAGCATAAAATAGCCGGCAATCGTCGCGTTATGCACAATAATACTCTCGGTACTCGGCGCAGCAATAATAACCGCTTCGTCAAGGTGCCATCTCGTTCGTTGTTATTGCATCGCGATTCAACAGAACTAATGAATTTAATAGATTATTGTTCCAAATCACGGCTCGCTGAGCCACGGCCTCCTCCCGGAACGTAATTTGTCCTCCCCATATTCCCCCATCCCATCCCGTGTTCTGATGCGACCTTGGCTCCGCAGTGCTAACGTTATTATATGGGCAATTGTTGTGCCTGTCTCTTGTTTCGCACATTTCGTTTTGTCAACATCATTTGACATCGTTTGTTACCTCTTCTCGTGCTGTGGCTGGGTGACGACACTTTCGCCTTTTTGCGGTTTTCCTCGCTCTTTCTCTCGCTCTGTGTCGCAAATTGGCTTTCATAGGACCGCGCGTTGGCGTGTCAACAATAACATGGTGACGGTAGCTTTGCGAACAATAATAATTCTTACAACGTGACCCCTGACTACCCTTTCTCGCTTCGCACATATAAGAACACATACACACACGGAACGGTTTAGCACCTTTGTCGCTATTTACCAACACATTCCCCTCCCCCACAAAATAATGCAGATGTGATGTAATTGAATTTGACTTACCTTCGCGTCGCATTCCCATTTTGAGGCACTTTCGTAGACGACAGAATTGACACTGATTCCGGTGGTGCTGATCGATCGGGCAGTTCCGATTACCCCGACACGAGTAGGTGAGGTTCCGTCGGACGGACCGCTTGAAGAACGATTTGCAACCTGCCACAGGAAAGACGAGAGAAATGAGATTTTTCATTAGAATGGTTTTGATTTATATTTTTTATTAGAGGATATCCATAAGCTACGTTGATTGTTTTCCAGAGATTTCTTTACTTCCGCTCCCCTCTGCGTAACGTGTGGTTCAGTTAGAATCCAGAAGCACACAGTATTATGTGCTCCTTTTTCCTATTAAACTCTCTACCGTGTACGGTGTACCTAAGGAGGTGAGACTAGTTAAAATTCGTTTTCGCTGATAAAGTTGCATGGAAACTCATGATCTGGCAGTCTTAATAGAAAAGTACTATACAAATTGTCATCGGGTTATCGTTCATCAGTCCCTTTTTTTCTGAGGTTCATTTTAATCAATTTTTCTTCACTATTGATAGAATTCAGCTGTAGAAGTACAGAAATGTAGAAATTATCTAGAAGAATATTTTTTAAAAGATCTATCTAGGGCGTCCAAATAATTCTATACTTTTGAACCTCTTGTTTTCAAGTTCAACAGAGACGACTGAGATATTTTATTGAATGACCTGTATTCAAAAATGCTCACAGAGCTTTAACATTTTTATGAAATACAAAACAGCATAATAATGCATTAATGTTCTACAAGCTCAAAACAATCTTGAATGTCCTGATTTAGTGTCCGAATCCGTAGAGCTTCATAGGATCTGATCAAATGTATTAGCAATATATCTAAGATTCTATAAGGTTCCTGAAGTTTAGTTTAGATATTGATGTTCTACAGAGTCAATTAGGTATTGTACGATATCCCGACTAAATTTTTGAACGCGCAGAGCTCGACGTAGCCCCATAATGTGGGATAGTCACGCAGTTGTAAAGACAACGTATTTTGGGGTCTACAGGCTTATCAAGGTCTTGTACGATGTACGTATTGTACAACTTAGATTCTCCAAAGTGAGAGTGCAGATCTTGAAATTCTGTATTTGCATTAGGCTATCCGCACCTACCCAATATCGTCCGATCCGACTGGCAGTTTTTCCATATTTATCTCGCTCTCATATTTATCTCTCATTTGTGGAGAGTTGCCCGGATGATATCGGGCAGGTTTGGGATGAACTTTATGTTTAGAACGATGTCGTATCGAAACTCATTTTCGCATCGGACAACGTAGTGGACAATCGGTCCTCCTTTTACAGAAAGAGTTATATTCCTGGGATAAATCGGTGGTATTGACTGACTTTCAGGAGACTACAATATTATTTTCCTCTTGGGTCTCGTTAAAATATTACGAAACGCGAAAATTTTTATTTTTTAAAACAACACCCTATAACGACAACTTAAAAAGACATGGACTTTGACGGTCACTTTTATCCTGAAAATTATTGTTAAACAAACTACATTGAAGTTAAAAAAATGGTTGGCCTTAGACTACTTTTTTGTGGACTATACTGGTAGACAAATAAAAAAAAAGTTGTGTGACGAAATAGTGCCAGGTTTTGAATGCTTATAACATGGTCATTTATGAATTAAATTCAATTTTAATTACACCATTTTATGTAAGATTTGTTTGGTATAAAGATGATAGCTGTTTGTCAATGGTTGAATATTGAAAATTAATTAAAGTTTTTAGCCGTAGCCAGTGCTGGTAGTGCTGATACGATATAATTGTAGTGACTTTAGTGACTAAAATTATGGAAATAGTGTCAAAATAGTGAATTTTAAATAATAAATAAGTAACCAATAGTGACATTTATATGATGACTCAGAAATTCTAATTTAGTTGAATATTGAAATAAACTGTTTTTTTTATCATGGAACTTAAATCACATATCATGAATTCCTCTAATAATATCAAATCTCTGAACAGAATCTCCTATGTAGAGCATTTGAAGCGATTTGAATAATTTCCTTTTGATAACGTTATACATGATGACCAGCAAATAGAAATTTCCGGATTTTCCGGAGTTTTTTTTAATGTTACTGGTTGAGCGATATTTTAAATTAATGTATAAACCAATTTATGTATATATTGTGTAATTGTAAATTGTATGTATAAATAATATATGTAAACAAATTAATGTATAAACCAATATATGTATATATTGTGTAATTGTAAATTGTATGTATAAATAATATATGTAAACAAATTAATGTATAAACCAATAAACCAGCTTTAATAGGGTTAAATAGATCATTACAACGACAACATTTTTTCAAAGATCTTGAATTTTATTCTGCGATTTATAATTCGCCAAAACATTTACAGAATTATTTCAGAATGATCTCAAGTACTTTTTTAGAATCATTCCCCTTCTATTTAACTTGCTTCTAGCTTAAAAAAAATATTGCCCTCTTGTAATTCTTTGCAGAACAATCAACATTTCTTTAAGGAAATAGATTATTTTCGTAGTTGGAGATGCTTGACGTAGTTGGAGATGCAACCATTGATGAGGGATAGTGAGGGGTGTTTCCCCCGCCACACTGGCAAAAGGGATGATCGTAAATTTGCTCATTTACCTTCGATTTGCGGAAACAGTTGTATAGATTGTTTCACACTCAAATCACCATGTGATTGCTCTACCCGATTCGTACCTTCCTCAAAATTTTCCTTTGCTCGCATTCTACTCTCTGTATACAATTTTCACACTGCCGTTTTACAGCGGAAGTATTAACTCTATACTTTCATCTCCTCATGTATCGTATAAATATCAAATGTTTTTAGTGTTAAAGAAGATTTTGATTTTCTTGAAGGTTCCTTCCATAAATCCATTTTAAATTTACTTGAATTCTCCTTAGAATTCCCATGCAATCAACCTCAGAAATATCATTAATTTCTACTTAGAATAATCTTGGACTTCTCCCCAGAGTTCTATTGGAAAAATTCAATTTGTATTCTCTTCAGAATTCCCATGGTACTTCCTTAGAATTATATTAACAAAAATCTATCCCAGAATCAGGGTTGTGAAAATCACTTATATCACAAATATCACGCCAACCAAATATCAGCTCTGATTAAAACTCATTTGATATTTTTAAATACGCCGCTCATTTGATTTATTGACAACCCAAGTAATGCAACATTACAACTCAGCACTCCCTTATTCTTGTCTTTTTTCACTCTCGAAGGATGACCATGCACTTTCCATTCAATGAAACGAAATACACAAACGTTTCGTTTTGAGTACAACTTCTTTGAGCGGTATCACTGTGCGCCAGCTACCACTCAGCCATTAGTACATTCTATACCCACGTGTATTGATGTTCCGAAAGTGAAGATAACAATAACAAACCAATATTTTTGACTGGAGCGAAAGTGAGGATAACAAACTTCTCAATTGAAAATGTGCGTGTAATAAATGTCAGAAAGGTCAATGAAAAACAAACTGCCAAAACGACCAGCAGCAAGCAGCTGAATTGACCTTTTTGACGTTTAATGATCTTTCTCTATCTAGAACACGGATTATAATGGATTCATTGTTTTCCCACTAATCTGTTCCCCTCTTGCTTGCACTTCTTCGATATAGCTGCTGCAGCAGTGTGCGCTGATTAAACGTCAAAATGCTCCATAAACGGAACCTAGCGCATATGTTCAGATAAACAGATCGTGCGTTCTAAATTTACCGCCTCTTTCTTTCCTAAGTTGTTCTTATGGAACGTTTGCGTGACATCACAACAACAATCCATGAGAGTAACAAGGAAAAAAATACATTTCAAATTCATGTTTGCACCACCTGTTTTATCCGCTCTTCCTGACAAGATGACACTCATTTGCCTCTTACACGGATAAAAATCTCCTTATACCTTTTGGCAAATTTATATTGCTGATTATTCATAACATGTATAAGTGAACTAATAAGCAGGCGCCTTTCAAAAAGTTAAAGAAGAGCATGTATCAAATGAAATGTATAAGCGGTCACACATGCCTTTCATGCATTCTTATAGGACCTATGTGGTTTTGGCAAAAATGTATAAAGCTGGGTTTAGACTAGGCAAGTCAAATGATCAACTCAGTTGAATTCAATTGGCTTGAAAAGTTGAACCTGGTTCAACTATTTTCAATTCAAGTGAGTTGATCAAGTCAGTTGAATGGCATGGTTTACACGTTCAATTCGCGTTCAAGTCAGTTGAATTCAACTGACTTGACCAACTGACTTGCCCTGTCTAAACCCAGCTTAAGTGAAACACATGAATAAAATAATTGATTTTCGTTTCGTGTAGCCGCTTAGATTTTGGATCTCTGCGTTGTGCGTTGCTTCTTTTTCACTTTTTTTCAAGTTAACACACACCCGTAGCAGACCAGTAGATAAAGACATTTGAGAACACTGAAAATATCTTAATGACAGAAACCATAGACAATGAACTCACGGTTGATTCAAAGGCCGTGCGGCTGAGAGTGTTATAAGTAGAGTGACAGAAAATCTCACGTGAGTTTTTATTATGAGTTCTTGATAATTCTTCAAAGACTTCTGAAAATCTAGCACAGGCAAATACCCTTGAAAAGTTGCCACGGGTTAGAATTTATTTTTGAGGAAAGGAGGTATATTTTTTACAATTTGTAATAAAAATTGAAGGCATCTCCCAGTGTTTTAAAGTTCCTTGAATTTCCTTATGTTTTAAAGTTCCTTGATTTTTTTGCGGTTCACCTGATTAAAACTGTTAATTTTTCAACAGATGTGCATATTTTGTCAGAACTTCTGTAGACGTCCTTAGTGCCAAGTACTCAATTTTCCATTTCACTCTATTTTGGTTGTGAAAAGTGACTTTAGTGGCAATTTTTAAGGAAATAGTGACTTTAGTGACTTTTTTTGTTAGTGAAATAAGACTGTAAAATAGTGACAAAGTCACTGAAAAATGACTAGCTACCAGCCCTGCGTAATCAACCAATTACGTGCTCGCTTACTATGACTTCCGAGAGAACAGAGAGACGAGGTACCACTCAATTTTTAATGTAATGTTTTATCTTTGCAGCAAAAAACAGAAAATATGTGGGGCTTAGTATGCTAATCCAAATGCTTAAGTAAGGGAAACGTAGAAAA